AGAGAAAATGGAGGCATGGGGGTTATGTAATAATTGTCCTGGGTGATATACTAAGTAAAAAAGCAATGCCAGAACTCAAGACACAAGACTCTGGTGCAAAAACCTGTGCTCTTAAATATTACACAGCACTAAACAAATCGATCTAAAGAAAAAGCATGGAACTAAGTTTATATTATACTGAATAATCTGACACTTTCTTATTGCTACATTTAACAAAATCGCACGGCTTACTAAATACAATTTAGCCAAGTCCAAAATGCTGCGGCCCATCCTTAATTTTTCTAAAACACATCCAGGAGAAACTTCTTTCCTGATTTTAGACCTTTCATAGCTTAAGACAGGTCCTCTTAAACCTTACCTTTCTCATTCTCTACAGAGTACTAAATCTGGAAGTAACTTATTCATTATGTTTGGACATGATCTCAGAAAGAAAGATTCAAGGCACCATCTAAATTCTATTTCCTCAGCAATTAACCACTACCACATGATGCTTGGGAAAGAAAATTATATTTTGCTTATCCTTGAAACTCCCACTCTATCATATACAGAAATACATCATGCCAAGTTCAGGCTTTAAGTAATTACTACGACCAAGAAATTATTTCTTTTTATAATGTTATTAAGACAATAGTAATTATGAATATTTGTATAGTTCTTTACACTTTATAAAACACTTGTATACACAGTATATCCCTGGACCCTCCTAGAAATCCTATTAAGTAGATTGAGAATAAATCATGCCTCCATTTGGCAGTTAAAGAAATTCATGATGAAAGGAGTACAGTGATTTGCCCTAAGCCATTCAGCTGGTAAATGACAGATTGGGATTTTAAAACAGGTCTTCTGGCTCCAAAGTCAACACTAATTCCCAGAAAATAAATATGTTACCACTGACTGCCAAAGCAGTTTTCTATCTGCCTACTTCAAGCTTTCTTTTTTCCTTAAACCTTCACGCCAGAAATGTTTAAATAAATCATTAGCTCCTCGAAAGTCTCTTCAGTACGAACCCGTGTTCGTGAACACTTAACTCAGCAAAATCCGCTACATGTTGTGCACAGAAAAGCACGCTTCACGGCTTCTACCTGGAGCTAGGCCTATCAGCAGCTACTCAGAAATCTCTGGAAACTTGGTGCTCTTAACAGTTACATTTGAGACAAGAGTCTTTATAGAACATTTTATATGTTATCTTGTCTGCCCTTGAACAGACTGATCCAAAACCATTTAAAACTCTCTTGATTCAAAACGAGAATTACTTACAGAGCATCAATCCTATAGTCAGGCCCTGTGTTAAGCGCTGATGATTCAAAGGCAAACACAGCCCGGAACTTCAAAGCAGGCACAGGAAAGGGCCAGCAGGGGTGGTCACAACCCCTTGAAAGGTGCAAAGGCAGATGTCTAAGGTGGGGCAACGCATGGTCCAGGAAGCCTTCAGGCAAAAGTCTATGGAATACTCGGGCAGAGGACAGTAGTGCAGTCATGGAAGTAAGGAGAGAATCGTAGGCAGTCTCTGCAATAATCGTACCCAGAACTTGGTGCCTGAGAGAACTGAAGAATAGAAGGGAGTTGAAATTAAATGCCAGTCGTCCATAAGACCAGAAAGGAGGAAGACACCCTGCCAGGGCCAGAGATGTTAAGCATGAGAGAGAACGGCCCTGGAGGAGAGAAAAGGTAACTCAACAAGGAGAGGACACCAGGGACTTCCCTGGCACTGCAGGGGTGAGGACTCCACGCTTCCGCGGCAGCGAGCACAGGTTCGAGGAACTAAGATTCTGCAAGCCTTGGGGAGCGGCAAAAATACAATCAAACGAACAAGGAGAGGGGGCACCAGGAAAGGAAACCAGTGCAGGCATGTGCACGTACACACGCAGAACCTTACGCCGCCTTGTCATCCTCTCATTTTGTAGATTAGGTAAAAATATTCCGACAGTTCTGATCACACGTTACAGAATTAGAGCACTGGAGAGCATCCTGATGAGTCTTGTCATTTTTGTGAGTGAGGAAGCTGGTCACAGAAGTACAGTTCTTTGCCCAAAGCCGCACACATCGGTAGCCGAGTAAGGACTAGAGCCCTGATCGCTGCTCCCTTGAGTCTGAGTCTGCCACACACGTTTCAGTGTTCACGTGAATTTGTATTGCTTCTACCACCTTTCAAAGCTCAGTTCAAATATATTATGATGACTACTGAAGTGAATTTTAATGATAATAAAGTTTACCTCAAAATTATTTATGCTGCGCTAATATAATCTTTCATAAATCTACTGGGAAACATCCTTAGAGTCATTTATATCACTCTTTTCCTACACTAGTCAACCTAGTAAATGGAATGTAGATTAACTGTCAAAATTCACTGCTATGTTTTATTTTTTTATCATTATAAATAATGGCCAAGGTTAAAGATAATAGTGATATTATAAATCTACTCTTAATGCATATAATGGAGTCTATATGCTTAAAAGCTAACAGAGTAACTAAATACAGAAAATATAAATACATTCCAGAGAGAAAGAAATACTTTAGAATCCAGCGTACTCATTCTCACTCATAAACAGTGGTGCTCTCTCCCAAAGACACAAGACTCTATAATCAGTCTTATCCCAGACAGAATATTCTCCTCTAAGCAATCTTTAGGTCACGATAATCCTTGTCCCGGGTGGGGGGGGGGGGGGC